GTGAAACGTTAACAAGTTGGTCGAAAATATATTGCGAAATCACAACACTATGTCATAATTACCAAAAAAATATTTGGAAAAAATTTTAACTTTGTAAAACTAGTGGCATCATATTTAATTTTTTTCCCATTGAGTTGAACGTGAATAATTTTGCATTACTATTGCGAAATACATTGTTAATTATCATATTGTGTAACTCATATTAGGCTAGTTAGAATAAAAAATAACGTAGGGTAATGTTTAACTAGTGAAACCTTACAAGTTTGTTGAAAATATATTGCAAAATCACAACGCTATGTCGTAATTTTAGAAAATCTGTAATATAAATATTTTGAATAAATTGTAACTTGAAAACTTAACTTGTAAATTGAACGTGAATAATTTTGCATTGCTATTATGCAATGTGTTAGAAAAAAAAATCTAATCTAGTCTAAAAATGTGTTGTTCATGTGTTGGACCTGAAGTACAGATTGATTTCAATGTTTAATCAAATTTTTAGCAAAACTTGTTGATGAACAGGTGCTTGCTCCCTGCTAATCTTTTTTGTAAAATCTTTTTCTTCTTGTTCTAAGAAATGAACAGATTGTAAAATAAATTCTGAAACATAACTAATCTAAGACACTAAATGGGTTGAAAAAGATGGGAACGTACAACTACTCTGCAACTTTATGGTTCCAGTCACCACTCTGATAGTAACAATAAATGGTTGTTACAGCGACAATAGTCACTTTGTACTTGTAGGAACTACTGAATATTTATATATTCATGTGTTGTTTACATGTGTTACTGCAACGAATCGGAAATGAAAAATCAGTAAGGCCGTGAGTAGTTGATAATGAATGGACATGTTCCATGCAGTACTGATATGATTGTGTCACTCACGATATGAATTGAAGAAGGTTGTTTAGTTAGAAATGCACTAAACGCGGAAATTCTGCATAATTTGATTAGGCCTATTTGGATATTCGAGCAAGTGTAATATCTATTTTGAAAAATAATACGACGAAAATTGTTTTTTCTTGCTCAACGAAATTAGGTTGTGATAGATAACTCCTCTGTTGATGCAAAATTAGATCAGCTGACTCCATTGTTGTCATTTGACGACACTGTCACTATTGTTGTACAGTATTACAAAGAACAATTCGATCTGTTGTTTTACCTATACTTGAAAGAAAACGCGAAATCAGGTTCGAATTATGTAAATACAAACAACGACATACGTACAAGATGTTGAACACAAATGAGAAACCTAAAGTGACTTAAAATTTAGCCACTTTTACGCCCTAGTGGATATACTATTAAAGCCCAAGAGTAAAAAGATTGCAATATTTACCTGAAATAATAAAATAAAATCGAATAAGAAGTCGAAAAGGTTGACATTTTACAATATGACGAGAAGTCTACTTTTGGTATCAAAATCTTCCTACTTGTTTGTTCCCATTGTAACAAATCAATCTTTGGGTATTAGCAAACACATGAACTGTCATGAAATTTAAACGATCTTGCTTAAAATCTGTCCGATTAACATACGAGTTACTGTAGATGGTAACCCGGGACTTACTGCAAAGAAAAACCTCTCTGGCGCAGTTCCAGTAGGTTTTGGGGGTAGATTTAGGTGCTGGCGCAGTCCTGGTAGGCAGCCTAGACTCTCTGGCACAGTTCCAGTAGGTTTTGTGGGTTGGGGATATAATATATCCCCTAGCTCCTATAGCTAGCACCTATATTATAGGTACTAGTGCAGTCCCGGTAGGATCTGGACTCTCTGGTGCAGTCCCGGTAGGTTTTTTTGGGGGGGAGTATATTTAGGTGTTGGCGCAGTCCCGGTAGGCTACCTGAACCCTCTAGCGCAGTCCCGGGAACCCTACTGTAGAGTAACCAACTGCCAGAGAAGATCCAGGCATTGCATTGAAAACATAACTCCGAAAAGGAAGTATTAGGGAAAACGTTTTTGAAACTTATGATAGCTCTCCGGGATGTCTAAAATGTTCAACTCACAAATAAAGAACTGTATAAATCTCTTCTATATGCTAGTGATACATAACTGACAGTATGAACCGCCAAATGACAATGTCTGAGTACAGACCATAGAGTAACGCTACCCCATAGTCTGGTCTGAGTCTGATCATCTGACATCACGTCCTTAGCTCAGCACGTGCTGATTGCTGACGTTTACACACTTCACAGGTCCTTGTACAGTAAGGAAACTGCACCGGTCTACTTGCAAGAGAAAGTTATTGTTCGATTACGGGTATAGACCAGCATTGAGGAATGCTTGTTTTAGTACCAAGATTTGGCCATGATCGTTGATATGCAACAAGGATAGAACAGAAACTGTGTGGATTTTGAACAACAAATGACATAACGGGACTGAATTTTGTGACACATTAACATCTGGTTCCGGTTCAATGATAATACAAACATGTTTACTTTCGGGACAGTGACATAATTTGTTGATGTTTATGAGTCCGTTCAAAAAAATTAGGTGGTTTAACGGGAGGGTTTACTGGGTGGCTACCATGTATGGTACTTTCCTGTTAAAGGGAACATTCATTATTATCGATGATTTTTTCTCGATATATCGATATTAACAAATTGAAACATATCAGCTGACAATTACGAAAAATATTGTTCAGTATCAACAAACATTAATGAAATGAAACTGTTCTAAATTAAATAACCTAACATAACTAACCAAACTTGCTGTAACATTTAAAAATTCTGCGTTTATAACTTGCCTTTTGTATTCAAACCCAAACGGAATTTTTAAATGGTACAGCAAGTATGGTTGGTTATGTTAGGTTAGCTTAGAGCAGTTTCATTTCTTGTTGTCAATTTGTAATGGATCGGAAAACAAAAAACATCGATATATCGTGAAAAAAAACATCGATAATAATGAATGTTCCCTTTAACAGGAAAGTACCCAATGGGTAATACAAGCTGATCAGTTGCTTCAAAGTTATGATGAGGGTTGGATGGGATGGAGCTTACCCTCCAACTGCCTAAATTTTGTGAACGGAGTACAATTCTCGAGATTTCTAGTATTTCCGGATTTCGGTCGTATTTCATTTGTTATAGAATGTGTTTATTGTTATTGAACCAACAGTGGAAATCAATTTTATCCTCTTCATCGACCTATCCACTCTGTGTTTTTTGTTTAGTACTTTTACTTTCTCCCTACATATACGGAGAAAGTATTGTTTTCATCAAAATCTTCCAGTTTGATTTTTTGGTGGAAATGTACGTTTTGGGTTTGCACGCTTTGCAGCGTCATATGAGTTGACAATGTCACTCATCATGAGGTTATTGTGGGAACCTCTTGTGTTGTGGTTCTACCAACAAAGGTGGGAAGACCTTGGTTGGTGCAAGTTCAAGGCGACTCTGTCGCGAAGTCACGACACTAAATACACTCTCCTTGTTGGAAATACTGTCAATAATATTTATGACCTTACACAACCTCATACCTTAGACTTTATAACACCGAGGCGTAGAGAAAAAGTAATCGAACGTGATCGTTAATTGTTAATTCAGATTATAATTTGCGTCTTAAAAAAAATAATTAAAAATATTTTTCTCGGACGAGTTTTTTTTTGTTACAACGACTACGCTGGAGTGGTTATAGAGCTCGCCTTCAAATATGAAGGTAGCTGGTTCGATTCCTAACGGAAACAATTCCAAACCGATTAGTCCCTGGGCTATCAACTATCGCTATGCAACGAAAGGTGTATATTAGATAGTACGGTAGATAGTAAGACTAGGTAGTATGACAAAAACACACAAAAACGAAATACCCAAATCTGTTAACACCCATTGAACATGTTACAACAGTATATTCTGGTTTTAATTAGATTTTTATTTCCTGGCCTTGAAAGTGTATAAATCTTTGAGGTGTGCTTTAAATAATTTAGGTTAGTTATAATTTTGTAACAAACTGAGAGCATCATTAAATGTCTCAAGACCCTAGATTAAACTACTGTAATTTTCTTTGCGACACACTACACTATTTAAAAAAATTCCCACGCAAGGATTTAGTCCAGAAAACAGCTGTTTGCCGCCAGCTTAATCAAATGGGGGCACATTACGTACTACTGTACAGGGAGAGTAACAAAGCGTGTTTTTTTAGAAAATATTAATGGCTTAGTATAAAATAAATAAATTTGACAAGTTTGATTAAAATATATCCATAAACAAGCAAGCTACAAAAGTTTACTCATTCTCCTAAGGATAACATAAGAATTCTTAATTAACAATTTACTAAAAAAGGTTTCTTCGTAACCAAAAAATGTACAAAAAAGCTTTAAGATACTAATTTATTTGTTTTTTTAAGTTCTTAAAAATGGTTTGGAGAGAATTTGGGAAACCTTATGTTTTGAGGTTCAAAAAATGAGAAACCCCAATTTTAACCCCATAAAACCGGATCATTTTTGCTCGAGATATCATGCTAACGGACACATATATGAATCTGAACGGATTGTGTATTTGGCCTCTGAGGACATCAAAACGAAAAAAGTAAATCGGTCCCGTGTCCAGGTCTTACCACAAGACCTACAGTAAGGGCTTATTCCCTATATGGGAAATTCGCAAAAAGTCTTAAAAGTATTTTTCCAACTTACACAACGTTCCAAAATGATTGAACGTACCAATCCATTACATTCGACAGAAACCGACACTTTAATCAAACTCTTTTCAAACCGCATATTTTCACGGAGGAATTGCAATATTTTATCCTTGTTTCGTTCCGCTTTCCCGCCAATAAAAGGTTAGGTCACACAGCTGATTGCTCTTTGCTGATCAGCTGATTGCAATTGACAGCTGACCAGACTGGCCCCTAAACGTCAATCTTCCGATCAACGAGTAACGTTAAAGTCGAGTAACTGGGACTTTTTTGGATTGTGAACTGTTGGTTAATTGAAAACTCAGTAACTTAGTTTAAAATATTCCCATATATTTTTATCAACCTCATGGATCATCAATTTTAAAATAAAGCTTATTTTATTGCTTAGATGTCGAGGAGAAGAAGACCATATCATGTCTGTCGTCTTACCATTGGCGCTGGTATGACAACTGATTCTAATTTATTTTCTGTGTGTTCTATTGTGTGTTTCATATTCTTGCTTTTTTCGGTTTGAGGTGTTTATGGTTTGATATTTGTCTTATTTTACCTCTTTTTGCTGCCAACTGCATGTGCGAATTGTTGTGGATTTTATTGGACGGTTTGGAATGCATTTTCAACTGGTTTTGGTGAATTTCAGAATGTTACTTTGTGAATTACTTTTCTTTGTGAATTTCTTTTCTTTGCTGTGTAAATAAAACCGTTTGAAAATAAACGGTATCAGCAATGTGTCACATACTTTCTCCTACTAGCTTATAACAACCCTCATCATAGGTAAGCAATAGGAGTAACTACGATATTTTAAGGCAAAAACTACAAAAGCTGCAATAACTTTTTAACCGTAATTTGTATAGCAATAGGAGTTGTGAAATTTTGCTTTGAGTTGAAAGGAATATAACATACAACATTTTAATTACAATAATTTGTGCTGTTTTCGTAAAAATATATTTTGTCTAATATTTAAAAGGGTTTTATGAAATAAAAATCGTAAAATAACTCCGTTAAAATCTAATTAAAAAAAAATTAAAACACCTGGGGGATACCATGAATTAGAACCCACATACCAATTGCATCAAAATCAGACCACAGAAGTAGTCTGTAGTTCTGTACACACCCAAACACAACATACAGACATCACTTCGAAAACCACTTTTTTGTTCAGGGGGACCCAAAAAGGATATATCTACCAACAATTAAAAATAAACATTTTTAACTAAGACAATACTTTCTCTATTTTACTATGCATAAGGAGAGAAAGTAAAATAGTTTCTGGAAACATAGCTTACAGATAAGATTTTCTATTCCCTTATGCGCAAAACAACATTTAACTCACACTTAACTCACACTTAACTCACACTTAACTCACAGGCGTTTTACTTAACAGTCCATGTTCGGCTCTAACTAATTAGAGTCAACTCACGGCTCAAAGAGTTTATAACTCTATAACTCAATTTTGAAGAGGCAATAACTTGCGTCTTGAATAGCTAATAAATAACTGTAAGAGTAGGCATGGCGTTGCACTTTTACTACCGATTTAGAAACTTTGCACTTCAATGGCATTCGTTTAGAGTTGCGAATACAACAATTAATTATGTTGTTAATTTTTATATTTGCAATGTTATACTTAACTTCTATGTTTAGGGACATAAATAATTTTTTTTAATAACCAAATAACATTCAGAAACACAATTTTTGACAAAAATTTACGATTCGATAATCAATTAGCAAACATATTTTCAAATCCTGTGTCTTAAAAAATCATCTGTAATCAAATTATATCAACACAAAATCAATATACACAAAACAAAAGAATTGTCCTAACTTCAGAAACACATAATTTTTGGAAAATATAATATTAATTCCAGAGTGCATAGTTTTTTTTCTTTTCAATTTATGGCCTTAATAATATTTTCTATATTTCAAAATTCAGTAAATGAAAAAGAATTATTAAAATAAATGATATGACTAACTGTATTAAAGAATAACATTATACATTATAATATTAAGAGTAACACTATCCTACACAAAACAATTTGATTAAATTTTTAAACCAATTTATTTACTCATAAATAAAAATAAAATTTAAAATTGATTGGTGAGAACTATGAATATTTTGTAAACTTTTAAATAAACTATAATCCTACTTTATCACTACCAATTAATACTGTATTTTTACTAAGATGCCATTATATTCCACCTTAGTAAAAAAGTGTTCGATGAGAAAAAATAAATAAATATACTTTAAATTTAGAAATTTCATCCAGCTTATTAAATAATTGCAAAATCTATTTTGATCATTTAAATTTAAAACTAACAAATACTATTGGAGTTTCCCCAAAAAATCGCACACGATGGATTTATACAAAGGCTTTAAGGTACCAAACCCTACTAAAAATGTTGTGAGTTTTGTTAAAACCACATTGGCGTGTGTGGTCGATTACCTTTCACGTGGTTGTGACGACAATTGGATTTTAATTTCTATGCAAATAGAGCAATAGGGACTAATATTCGATTGTTGTACAGTAGTAGTTTCACACTTCGAATCACAATGTATGAGGTATGAATTTAACATATTATATGAGTGTGGATATAGTAAGTGAATTTAATTAATTTATTTAAACTTATATCCTTTTCTATTAGCATATTTATATTTAAGTTAAAAAAAAAATTTTATGTTCATGTGTTATCTTTAATTGACTAATGTTTATTTATAATCTTGTATTCCTATTGCTAATTCCTGATAACGTTGATATACCCAATCGTTTAGGAAAAAGTTTAGGAAGGGTAAAAACAAAAGTAAAAAAAAATAACAAATGTAAAAAACAAAAGTTTAGGAAGGGTTTACCTCTTTCATTCCGCGTTAAGATATTTTAAATTGTCATTTAAAAACGATTTTTAAATGAACTTAATGTTGTTGAATCTCGATATTTTCACATTGGATCTAATGTTAATAGGCAACATCTAAAAATTAGCGAACATTTTCAAAGACTTGTCAATGCAAATGATTTTCAAACCATCTCCTAACAAAGGGTAAATATTTCAAAATATTTTCATTAATGTATAATATTTTTTACCAGGAATATTTGTTGGTTAACAACCTCGTTTAAAGTGTAGTTGGTTTCATCAAAATTTAACGGTAGTCAGCTAGGTGAAACTATCAAACAGACAATTATGATTGTGTTTCTTCGGTACAAAACAAATAATTGAGTAAGATATCGAGTAATATCTGTCCAGTCGTAATTATTGCTTGACGGGAAACAAATTCATAGACTCATTAATCATATACTTGTGTAAATAGATGGACGAACAATATAACCCTTGACAATATTTATGGCGTGCAATTTTTCTCTGAACATAATAAATTTATCGATTCATTGGCTATGGATTTTGTAGTAATAGAGATCGACGATATAATCACAATAGACAATGTATGCTGCAACTTGGAGTGTATCTGTATCTTCTAATTAATTTCTATGACAAACAATCACAAACACGTACAGAACTGTGGATACCAATAATGGTAATGGATGTTGCAAAAGTACCCCATATGTATGATATTGGTATTGCAATTTGCAATATTCAAGAGAGTTTTTTCCAAAACACCTGTTGCAACTCGGGTCATTCCATCCCTCGTAGTTTTGAAATTCACCCAAGCTTCTTGGACTAATTGGAACACAATTGATTCCTTTTGGGAAAACTTATTGGAATGATTAAATAGCCAATGGAAGCACAATAGTTGTTTTACAGTAAAGTTTTTTTAATAGCTAAAAACCCCCATCCTATAAACTATTTTCTTCCATTTTATTTTATCTTTCTGTTATGTAGGCCTACTTCTATGATACTCAATATTAGTACTATGAATTACTTCTTTTATCTTACAACAGTGTGTGTTACTACTGTAATGTCACGCAATTCTCTACCAAAGTTTAGATATCAGTTATTTATCTCATATTTAGCGATTCAATTTTGTTGTTGATAATGATGATAGGAACTCGGGCCTGCAACTAAAATAACGTATCTTATGTGGAACTCGTTTATAGATTCAAAAAGCCTTAAGCCAAGAAAATAATTCGCAACCTTAAACAGTAGTTTTTAGGTTTTATCTTAATGTAATTAACATTTGTAATTGTTTTTTAACATGTCTAATAACTCCTGGACCATAAAATTTTAGCGACATGAAAAAGTTAGGTCTTTCCATGATACTTATGGTAATGGCTTATTCCCTATATGGGACATCCTCTAATACGATTCCATATTTTTTTAAATACAGACAGCTTAAAACTATTTTCTCTAGCGTTTACCTTTTTTTAAATAATCTAAATCTCGTAGCCTCATAAAATTGTAAAGAAAATTGTACAATACCGAGATAAAAAATCATTAAATATTACTTTTACTGTGAATAAAATAAAGGATATAAAAATGGAAATAAAGCTGTTTGTTTCAAACGCTTTTATACAGATGAATAGTTCATCCAAATGATCTATACATAGGTCTGGGACACGTAAATCTTGTTTAATTTTAAACTCCTCACTAAGAGCTATTTGTGACGCTATTCCACTTCTATTTGTTGGAGCCCTCTTGTTATTTCTAGTAGTAATGGGTCGATTCGTGATTAAAAATCTCCTTTGAAATCTCTGGTGTATAGGTGATGTATACATAAAAAGGAAAAATGTATAGGTTTTATTTGTTTCGATCTTTAAGTTATTTTTACTGTAAACAAGCAACTTTATTGTAAATCAGGGTTGGGTGGTATCAACTTATTAATTTCGATTCATAAAAATCTGATATTGAGATAAAATTATAAATGATCTGAACACATCAGCTAACAATTTATATTCCAAAAGTTTTTCAATTTTTATAGAATTTCTTGAATATTTTAAGAACTTTTCGGTGGGTAGGGTTTCTTTTTATTAATTAAATTCTAAAATAATCCTTCTATTGTGAACTAATAAATACACCAATAATATTCATCCCATAAGTTTGATCTACCTTACAGCTTAATAAATTTGTCCTTACTTTTGACGTAACCTTCAATAAAGGCTACATGATGAGCTTGGAAGGCTTCACTCGTCAACTTTGTTACAATGTTCTCAAGTTACAGGGTGTTTGTGATCTAGTAACAATATCAGCTGTTTGACGTATGTGAATGAGTTTCGTGGTTTTACTTGAACGTAACATTCCTAGAAAAAAGATAAGGCTGCACTACTTCACCTAGAAAAGTAACACCGGTAGATTATCTAATATTATTATATATAAGTTAATTATTTATTGAGTCATCCAAACCACTTCTATTTGTTAAGATGGAAGTTTACGATAATTTATTAAGATACATCCTATATATTATGGGCAAGAATGTTTCTTGAAAACATTTTTTCTCAGCTCGCGTGCATCGTAGGGAAAATTTACGCATACTTCTAGAAATATATTTCCATGTAAATGTGCA